CCGCTACCTCGTTCTGTAGCCCTTCCAACTCCCCTTTCATCTCGGCCAACTTGGTCTCTCGCTCCTCAATGGTAGCCGTCTTCGCCGTCACCTCCGCATGCATGACCGTGCACTCTTCCTGCGCCGTCTGCAGCTCAATCTCGATTGACTCCGCACGCTGAACGACCACCGGACTGGAATATACGTTTAGTTCCCTCAGCTGAGTTCGGGAGTTTCCCCACTGCATTGCAATCATTCAGACATGACTTGGGGTAGAATTTCCTCATCGTCAACAACATGTGCGTAACAAGCCAATTTTTACCTTGGTATCATATTATATTATATTATATTATGTTACTATCAAAACTGGTACAAATCTATATATGATTTCGGGAAATAGATGTTTCTCATCATTTTTTCGGGTTTTTGAGCTGAAACGATGATAGGGCATAGATAAAGTGATAACCCATCATATAATCCACATTGAGCTCAGCTCACCTCAGTTTCGTCCTCAAGCATTCCTCTAACCTGCTCTAACTCCCTCTCAAGCTGAGCGTTGGTATTGTGCTGATCCTCAACGGCTCCCCTAAAAAAACCAGCACTATTCCACTCAACGACTAGGGTAGGATGCGATGGATAGGAAAGCGTTGCTATATACAGATGAGTGGATAGCAATACATTAGCTATGGGACAAGGCTATGTAGCTATTACTAATTATTGTGTATTGGGAAATTACACCAGTACAATCAGGCCCAACCCTGTCCTGGCGGCTCACCGCAATGCTTGCAGATCCTCTCCGTCACTTTGGAACCCCCTGCCAGCCAAAAATGCAGACAGCTCACGATTGGCTGCTGCCAAGGACTCGTTCAACTGAACAATGACAGTGTGATGGTCTCTAACACACGATACCAAAGTGTACTCCCTCATCACCACTGTTTGTGTGATGAGCAAAGATACTATAGCGGCTGCCAACATCAGCCAGCTCATTGGGACTAACTAACTACGTCTATCCGGAAGCCAAACTCGAAGAGCCCTTCTGTATGTTCCTGTACTATTAACGACGTTTACGAAGAGATAATTGACACAAACTTGTGTTATGTGTTTTCTAGTGCCCCTAACTGTGTTCTCAGATCCTCTAGCGTCAAGCTAGTGGACCCGATCTGTATTCAATTACCCCCAGTATTTTTACAGTTAGGGAGGCTGTACTGTAGTATCTATTTTGGTATCACCTAGAACCTTCGTATACTTCAACGGTCAAGAGTCTTGAATTATATCAATACCGTCATAGATGCTTCGTTAACTGATGTTCTCAACTAATTCACGTATTGTAGTCGCTATTGTTGCTATGGTTATTCCCGATTTCATAAGAGTTACTGAAGCTCCATTACTACTCCTGACTACTACTACTTGACTCCATTACTGAGGTATCTACTAAGTCATCAAGTTCATCACTTAGAACCTTCGTACACTTCGACAGTCAAGAGTCTTGAATTATATCAATACCGCCATAAATGCCTCGTTAAGTGACGTTTCACTTTTGATCGATCGTAACGCTATTGTCAATCAATAGAAGGAACCATCGAGTGGGGCGGCTTAATGAAGATATGCTTCTGCAGAATAATTTTCACGGGGGCACGCGTTGAAGGATCCGTTCCAGCGAGTGGGGCGGCTATGCCACTTCCTCAAGATATGCTTCTGCACA